TCACTACTCACAGGACTCAAAGTTGCATCTTGCGAGGTAAGCAAAATGGCAAAGAGAATGCCAGAAAGTAGGAAGCCAATTTGACCAAACACGTTTTAGAGTTCCTAGAATAGCATTAAAATTTCAATACCAGCAAGCACTGGTCGTAAAACCTTACTTTATAGTAATTGACTCGACCAACATCCTTGTGGACCCCTGCATCTGGGTACCCGTTTTCCGTAATGAAAACTTGAGGGTTGTTGTATTCTCTTTTGATCCAGTTAAGAACTCGACGCATGCCCTTCGGGACGACCTGTTTAGCGGAAAACAACGTATAACATTATGTTAAGCCCTCACACTTTGGTTGTCACACACAGAAAACTGCCATTTACGTGCTTACAAAATGCCAGGGTGCGATAGTTTTCTCCCAGGAGGCGTCAGTAGAAACCACAACCTGTGCATCCTCAACCATAGTCGTGCCATCTGCTTCGTTAGGTGCGTCCGCTACCAACCGGGAGGAGTATGTATTGAAGCCGAAGAAATCTGCTGAGCCTGAAAAGAAATTATTTCGACATTCTGTTGAATACACTCTACACCCCTGATGAGCCGACGGACAGAGCTCACGGACAGCGGCTACGGACTACATGAGGACAATTTGAGGACATGTCCACTGGTATGTCCATGAGTTGTCCGTGGCCCCAGTCCGTGGATTGAAACGTCCGAGGACTTGTCCGCAGCCGTCCGCAGTCACCCGAGATCCTATCCGTGTCCGCCATGCTGTCCGCGATCGTGTCCGTGGCACTGTCCGCAGTCATCTCAGATCCTATCTATCCGTGGCTCTGTCCGCAATGGTCCGAGAACCTATTTGTGGCACTGTCCGCAATCCAGTCCACGAGGTTTGTCCGCGTTAAAGTCCTGAGCTGTCCGGGATGTTTGAAGGAAGTTTCATAGAAATCTGTTGCGTTAGAAAGGCAACGTTGAGTGACCGTGATGACATCACGATCTTTGTTCAAAAATTGCCGCCATCCCGCCCTCTGGAGGCGATGATGGACTCGGGGCGAGCCGGACAGAAGGTGGGCGGGCGGAGGGTCTTAGTCTGAAGAGGTTGGATATGACCAGCGCGAGTTGGTGCAATACGTCTAATGACAAACAATATAAGGGTTGACTAGATAAAGGACAAGTGTGAACAGCCTAAGTACCCCTTTCTTCAACCACAGATTACCAAATGTACTAGTTAAAAAGACGTATTCACGTACAAATGACCTATTAAAAACTTTGATGTGTCAAAATTCCGAAGCGCCATCTAGTGTTCGAATGGTTGAACTCATCTCAGTCCGCAAGTGTCCACAAGTGTCCGTGGGTATACTATGACGGTAAGCAACTGTTCGGTACGTAAAATTAGAAAAGAGTCGATGGACAACTCGTGGACATGTCGGCGGACATGGCACGAACGTCATGATGTGCAGGGCAATGGACATATGTCGATGGACAACTAGCGGACAGTCCTACGGACCAGTCCGGTGGAACGGTCCGTAGACATTTGGTGGTCATAGGTAACGGACAGAT